GACAGCTCGGGCACACACCTGACAGCTCGGGCACACACCTGACAGCTCGGACACACACCTGACAGTTCAGGCACACACCTGACAGCTCGGGCACACACCTGACAGCTCGGGCACACACCTGACAGCTCGGGTTGGCCTGTCAGCTCGGGCACACACTTGACAGCTCGGGCACACACCTGACAGTTCGGGCACACACCTGACAGCTCGGGCACACACCTGACAGCTCGGACACACGCCTGACAACTCAGGCACACACCTGACAGCTCGGACACACACCTGACAGTTCAGGCACACACCTGACAGCTCAGGCTAATACCTGACAGCTCGGGCACATACCTGACAGCTCGAACACACAACTGACAGCTTGAGCACACACCTGACAGCTCTAGCACACACCTGACAGCCTGAGCACACACCTGACAGCTCAGACACACACACCTGACAGCTCAGGCACACACCTGACAGCTCGAGCACACACACCTGACAGCTCGGGCACACACCTGACAGCTCAGGCACACACCTGACAGCTCGAGCACACACACCTGACAGCTCGGGCACACACCTGACAGCTCGGGCACACACCTGACAGCTCGGGCACACACCTGACAGCTCGGTCACACACCTGACAGCTTGAGCACACACCTGACAGCTCGGACACACACCTGACAGCTCGGGCACTCACCTGACAGCTCGGGCACACACCTGACAGCTCGGGCACACACCTGACAGCTTGAGCACACACCTGACAGCTCGGAAACACACACCTGACAGCTCGAGCACACACTTGACTGCTCGGGCACACACCTGACAGTTCGGGCACACACCTGACAGCTGAGGTACACACCTGACAGCTCGGGCACACTCCTGACAGCTCAGGCACACACCTGACAGCTCAGACACACACCTGCCGGCTCGGGCACACACCTGACGGCCCGGGCACACACCTGACAGCTCGGGTACACACCTGACAGCTCGGGCACGCACCTGTCAGCTCGGGCACACACCTGACAGCTTGGGCACACACCTGACAGCTCGGGCACACACCTGACAGCTCGGGCACACACCTGACAGCTCGATCACACACCTGACAGCTCGGGCACACACCTGACAGCTCAGACACACACCTGCCGGCTCGGGCACACACCTGACGGCCCGGGCACACACCTGACAGCTCAGGCACACACCTGACAGCTCAGACACACACCTTCCGGCTCGGGCACACACCTGACGGCCCGGTCACACACCTGACAGCTCGGGCACACACCTGACAGCTCGGGCACGCACCTGTCAGCTCGGGCACACACCTGACAGCTCGGGCACACACCTGACAGCTCGGGCACACACCTGACAGCTCGGCACACACCTGACAGCTCGGGCACACACCTGACAGCTCGGGCACACACCTGACAGCTCGGGCACACACCTGACAGCTCTGACACACACCTGCCGGCTCGGGCACACACCTGACGGCCCGGGCACACACCTGACAGCTCGGGCACACACCTGACAGCTCGGGCACGCACCTGTCAGCTCGGGCACACACCTGACAGCTCGGGCACACACCTGACAGCTCGGGTACACACCTGAAAGCTCGGGCACACGCCTGACAGCTTGAGCACACACCTGACATCTCGGATACACACTTGACAGCTTTAGCACACACCTGAAAGTTCAGGCACACACCTGACAGCTCGGACACACACCTGACAGTTCAGGCACACACCTGACACCTCAAGCACCTTGGGCTAGCCCAGACAAAACACCTACACTGCCTAGACAAGAGGGCCAGGTGTTCTAATTATGTACAGATGTTCTCTTGTTAAGTAATTGCTTCAGATATGTCACATGATTTCAAATACATTGTTACATTTAATCGCCTCTCAGCTCACAAGAACAGTAATTAGTATTATACACTTATACAAGGCTCAATGCCCCCACCCCCAGCTGGTGAGTTGTTGACCATATCACCCACTGAGTGTCTATTGGTCTATAAAATTTAGGTATGGCCCTATGTGCCCAGTACTCATGAAAGCGTGGAAAAGGGTTCTGTATATACCTTTGCTGGTTAGATATTTTCCAGTTTGCTTCCCAGACAGCTGCAGCTGACTGCCCATGGGGTCTGTTTTCTATCAGAGTGGTCGTTTTTCAGTAATCCACAGAGTGGTCGTTTTTCAGTAATCCACAGAGCGGTCGTTTTTCAGTAATCCACAGAGTGGTCGTTTTTCAGTAATCCACAGTGGTCGTTTTTCAGTAATCCACAGAGTGGTCGTTTTTCAGTAAGCCACAGAGTGGTCGTTTTTCAGTAATCCACAGAGTGGTCGTTTTTCAGTAATCCACAGAGTGGTCGTTTTTCAGTAATCCACATAGTGGTCGTTTTTCAGTAATCCACAGATTGGTCATTTTTCAGTAATCCAAAGAGTGGTCGTTTTTCAGTAATACACAGAGTTGTCGTTTTTCAGTAATCCACAGAGTGGTCGTTTTTCAGTAATCCACAGAGTGGTAGTGTTTGGAGTGGTGACAGTTTTTAAGTAATCCACAGAGTGGTCGTTTGTGGAGTGGTGACAGTTTTTCAGTAATCCACAGAGTGGTAGTGTGTTTGTGGAGTGGTGACAGTTTTTCAGTAATCCACAGAGTGGTAGTGTGTTTGTGGAGTGGTGACAGTTTTTCAGTAATCCACAGAGTAGTAGTGTATTTGTGGAGAGGTGACAGTTTTTCATTAATCCACTGAGTGGTCGTTTGTGGAGTGGTGACAGTTTTTCAGTAATCCACAGAGTGGTAGTGTGTTTGTGAAGTGGTGACAGTTTTTCAGTAATCCACAGAGTGGTAGTTTGTGGAGTGGTGACAGTTTTTCAGTAATCCACAGAGTGGTAGTTTGTGGAGTGGTGACAGTTTTTCAGTAATCCACTGAGTGGTAGTTTGTGGAGTGGTGACAGTTTTTCAGTAATCCACTGAGTGGTAGTTTGTGGAGTGGTGACAGTTTTTCAGTAATCCACTGAGTGGTTGTGTAGTGACTACATTGTGGTGGACACTGTGTGGTGGATTTTGTGTTGTTATGTGGTGGAACACATGGTGGTTGTGAAATGATGATCGTGTAATGCTGGTACAAAGATATCAGATGAGCAATCTGAATCCCAGATGGAAAGAATATTTCCAAACTCTTCTGAACTGACAGAAAACGAAGGAACAGTACCATTCACATCCAGATATACACATGAGGAACAGCCGGGAATAAGTGAACAAGAAGTCAGAGAAGCAATCAGGTGCAGTCCAAAACATAAGTCCGCTGGTGTTGATAGAATTACAGCTGAGGCAATACAGGCCTGTAGAGAAACTGGAGTCACCTGACTATTCCCTATATTAAGGATATCCTGGAATGAAAGAACTGTACTAATCGACTGGCAAAGAAACATTACAGTACCAATATGGAAAACAAAAAAGTAATAAGCAAGATTGTAACACTTATAGAGGCATCTCTCTTTAATGGCATGTGGCTAAAATGATTGCCAAGATTCTGAAACATCTTAGATCTGTAAATCTGTTGCAGAACTGATTCTGAGCCCTCCCAGCACAAGTCGCATTCAGGACAGGAAGAGGCTGTACTGATGCTATTTTCATCTTAATGTAAATTAATAAATTAACGTAAGGACAACAGAACACAGACACCACATGAACATCGCTTTTATAGATCAAAAAAAGGCTTTTGACAGAGTGAACAGAGATTTACTATGGGATGTCCTTGAAATCTATGGTATACATGGACCAGTGCTAGATTGTGTAAGAGATATTTATAATCAATTGAGAATGAAACCAATACAAGAGCATACAACCTGAAAATCCAAACACCAAGAGGCAGGGGAAGACAAGAAGATGGAAGAGACTGACATCTTGAGACTGCATAACATCATGGCATAACAAGAGACCATGCACACCCTGGCTCGGCTGCCGATCGTCTGATGAGCTGCGACACCTAGCACATAAGCAGATATTGACCAAAAAAAAAAAAAAGATAAAAAGTGCATGAGAGATTCCATAGATATAGATAGACCAGTCAAAAAACAAAGAATACAAAAAGGATATTACAAAGAGGTAAAGGGAAGAAAAAAGGCAACAAAACATTAGGAAATAACTCTATTTATTCAACAATGTATCATTAATTATTTGTTAACAGATTTGATATTTGTAAAGAAGAACATTCATTGAAAACATCATTACATCATGTGATCTAAAACAGTGTTTACAGTTACAACAAACTGGAATCATGCATATTCATGGCAATACATATCAGCTCATTAACATTCATATCATGTGCAACATACTGTTTGCCTGCAAACACCTGACACCCATACCAGATGGAGCAGACAATAAATCTGACCCAGTTAGACCTGGAATAAACAAATCTGACCCAGTTAGACCTGGAATAAACAAATATGACCCAGTTAGACCTGGAATAAACAAATCTGACCCAGTTAGACCTGGAATAAACAAATCTGATGGTCAGACATAGAAAAGATAACAAATCTGACCTAGTCGGACCATCTGTCAATGTACACTGCCATGTGCTGTCAATGTACACAAACATGTGCTGTCAATGTACAGACACATGCTGTCAATGTACACAAACATGCTGTCAATGTACACAAACATGTGATGTCAATGTCCACAGACATGTGCTGTCAATGTACACAAACATGTGCTGTCAATGTACACAGACATGTGCTGTCAATGTACACAGACATGCACTGTCATTGTACACAGACATGCACTGTCAATGTACACAATCATGAACTGTCAATGTACACAAACATGGGCTGTCAATGTACACAAACATGTGCCACAAGCAGATTCTAAAGTTAACATGCAATTTCCAGATAGATTAACAGAGGAACTTATCTATTGAAATGTTTTTTGAAGCATGTTCATCATTTACCTCACATGAAAGTAATCAATAAAAACATGTGCCATCATAAATGTTATGATAAAATCTCTGTGAGAAACCAGATTCAGTTATCCGACATTAGTTCCTTTTTTTCTGCTGCTCTCGTCTCCACATCAGTGGCAGATTCAGCCGCTGAGACCACCAGTGACATATCCTCCATGGCCCACGGCTGCACCTCACCCCGCCCTAGCAGACAGAAACATGCAGCTCCCAGGACATAGATCGCAGATGTGAGAAAGTAGACAATCTGCCACTGTTCTCGAGTTTGCTGTGCCAAAAAAAAATAATTATAAGTATGCTCCCCTCAAATATATCATCAAATTGATATAAATATTTTATCAACATTATGATAACTATGATAAGATTTTCCACAAAAATATATCAGTTTGCGTTTAATTTGTTAGCACTGGCCTGCTCAACAAGACTTTCATTCACATAAACACCTATAAGTGTTTGTTCAGCGTGGTTTATTTTGTTTAATTTTTTTAATGGATAATAGTTGGTTTGTGTTATCAGTGTGAAGTTCAGAATCCAATCCACAGTCAACATTTGCTGCGGAGATGGCCACTAATTAATTACTAGAGACTGCCATTTCATATTTTGCATTTATAATTTATAGCTAGGCTTTGACAACTGGCATCGGTGACCAGGTACTTCCATATTTTGCATCTTCGGCAGCTTGGATTCTCCATTTTGTGAGTTCAGCAGCTTTTTTTCTAAAGGGAAAAAGAATACCTCATCCTCCCCTACCCCCTTTATAAAAAAGGTTGTTCTGGGACCAGGCCCAAGTGCAGAAGTGGGCCAGCAACCAGAACTTTGTGCTGGAGTTTACATTTGGTGAACAGTAAGAAGAAGACGACGACGAAGAAGAACGGCTTGAATTAATTTATACACTATCATCTTCTTGTGCCAGGACAAAAGTTTGCTAGTCTTGTTTTGTCTATTTCTTTACATAAATCTATCCAGTTGTTACAACACATTTCAGTAGTTACAACAAATATCAGTTATTCCCGACTCGTAATACTGACAAAAGAATGATGGCTGACTTATTCTGATGTCTCAGATAAATTGCTTTTGAGTTTTGGCTTTTTTCCAAAAATCTAGATTTCTCCTAATGTCCAGGAAATTTGCAGCAAGCTTCTCTGAAAAACCACATCTCTGACACCCCAAGAGATTTGATTGCACATATACTAACTTCAATGAATATGTGTTTTCGAATGCTCTTAGATGACCCCTGTAAAAGAGTAATTCGGCCTAAAAATGGGGTCGCGACTAGCAGGTTAAGAACCGCTGTTCTAGACAGAATGTAAGAATAGTTTTTTTTCTAATTTTCAAAGACAAGAGTTTCCTTGCAGAAGATGTTCTCTTTGTTTTTTTAATTCAGATTTGTCTGCCCTTATGTTTCATTAATCTCTGTGATGCTTCTTCCATCACTTGCCCCCAAAAAGTACCATTTCTTTTATACAGCCATCATCTGTTTGTTTGTCTGGATATTCAAGTAAATATTTATTTGCAGTCTTTATTGATTCAATAGGAAACAATATTTTTGCAGATCTCGCATTTTCAGTTAGCACTGTTGTATTAACTACATTGTGTTGTTTGTGATCAAATTACTTGAATTGTACTTTTGTTATTATCATCATCTCTGTGGCAAACCTGGGAGCGATGTCATAGGGACTCACCAGAAAACCCGACAGAGCAAACCCTGGATAGAGAAATACACAACATGTTGAGACATAAAGCTGCATTCTGATATCTGAAATTATGTTCACTGAACGAGAATAATTGAACATTGTGACCAAACTAAAACTTTCACCAGTGATAATGACATTATTTTTTCCCTACACAAAAAGAATTCTTTCAAAAAATACCAGTAATGGATTATCAGAGGCTAGAAGTTGGCAAATGCATTTTCATAAGAATGTGTTTAAGAAAAGTGTAAGAAACTACCATTATTGAGCCATGTTACACGTCATAACATGTTAACAAGAACAGCAGCAGAAGGCATTCTTCCTTGATAAAGAGCCAGAGGCATGTGTTCCAGCAGATCTCAGACCACAGTGTGCTCTAGCATACCTCAGATCACAGTGTGCTCTAGCAGATCTCAGATCATTGTGCTCTAGCATATCTCAGATCAGTGTGTTCTAGCATATCCCAAACTAGTGTGCTCTAGCAGATCCTAGATCACAGTGTGCTCTAGCAGATCTCAGATAACAGTGTGCTCTAGCAGATCCCAGATCATTGTGTGCTCTAGCATATCTCAGATCAGTGTGCTCTAGCAGATCCTAGATCACAGTGTGCTCTAGCAGATCCAAGACCATTGTGTGCTCTAGCATATCTCAGATCAGTGTGCTCTAGCAGATCCCAGTGTGCTCTAGCAGATCCCAGTGTGCTCTAGCAGATGCCAGACCATTGTGTGCTCTAGCAGATCCCAGGCCATTGTGTGCTCTAGCAGATCCCAGGCCATCCCAATATTATGGGAAATGAAAGAGCAGACTAGTTAGCAAACACATAGTCATACAGAACAGCCAGACAGAGGATGCACTTGTAAGGAAAATAAAACTTTGATCAAGGCACCTGCTGCGTCTCATTGAAATACTTATCGCGAACCCAGCCTCGAAGATGCAGTCAACCCTCTCTCACAAAAACACCCAATTGTTTTTACATTGCAAACTGCACACAACAGACTCTGTAAGCCATACCTGCACACAGCAGACTCTGTAAGCCATACCTGCACACAACAGACTCTGTAAGCCATACCTGCAAACAACAGACTCTGTAAGCCATACCTGCACACAACAGACTCTGAGCCATACCTGCACACAACAGACTCTGTAAGCCATACGTGCACACAACAGACTCTGTAAGCCATATGTGCACACAACGGACTCTGAGCCAAACGTGCACACAACAGACTCTGAGCCATACATGCACACAAAAGACTCTGTAAGCCATACGTGCACACAACAAACTATGTTAGCCATACCTGCATACCTGCACACAACAAACTCTATGAGCCATACCTGCACACAACAGACTCTGAGCCATACCTGCACACAACAGACTCTGAGCCATACATGCACACAACAGACTCTGAGCCATACCTGCACACAACAGACTCTGTGAGCTATACCTGCACACAACAGACTCTGAGCCATACCTGCACACAACAGATTCTGTGGAGCCATACCTGCACACAACAGACTCTGTAAGCCATACCTGCGCACAACAGACTCTGAGCCATACCTGCACACAACAGACTCTGTGAGCCATATCTGCACACAACAGACTCCGAGCCATACCTGCACACAACAGACTCTGAGCCCTACCTGCACACAACGGACTCTGTGGAGCCATACCTGCACACAACAGACTCTGCGAGCCATGCCTGCACACAACAGACTCTGAGCCATACCTGCACACAACAGACTCTGTGAGCTATACCTGCACACAACAGACTCTGAGCCATACCTGCACACAACAGACTCTGTGGAGCCATACCTGCACACAACAGACTCTGAGCCATACCTGCACACAACAGACTGTGAGCCATACCTGCACACAACAGACTCTGTGGAGCCATACCTGCACACAACAGACTCTGTGGAGCCATACCTGCACACAACAGACTCTATGGAGCCATACCTGCACACAACAGACTCTGTGGAGCCATACCTGCACACAACAGACTCTGTGGAGCCATACCTACACACAACAGACTCTGAGCCATACCTGCACACAACAGACTGTGAGCCATATGTACAAGATATTCAAGACTAGAGGCTCTGAATGGTAGTTTTTTTTCTATTCACTTGCTTTAAACTCTGACAGAAAGTTCTGGTTAATATATTTGTCCATTTCTGGACTTTGGGTGGTCTTCTTCCAGTGTAATGAAATATAGGCAGAAAGGGGTTAAACGAATTAAGCATATGTTTCAGAGGAGCATAAAAGCACGCCTATCCCTCACTCGTTGGCATGACAGAATACAGTGCTTTGAAAGCTGGCCGGGCCAGCTACACAGAACATCTGCACGATAACCGCAATGACATCTGACAGTGAAGGATGAAACATTCGACGAGTACCCATGAGCAAGCAGATGCACTGTGACCAGCTGAAGAGATACGTTCATCCAAACGTGACCACCAAAGACAGGTGACAGGGGAGTGATTGAGAAGGCACGCCAGAAAGAGCGGGAAAGCGGGGAGTAAAGTCAGAGCCAGGGGCTTGAGAGAACAGTTAGGACCGGACCGCTTGGGAGACCAGTTGAGAAAACTAGTGCTGTACTTCGTTTAGAAGGTATATGTTAAACTTGGAGTTAAGCTAGAACAGTGATTAAGGAACTCGTAGAGAGACATAAGAATAGACAGTAACAAGATAATGAAGTGTTCATATACTATTGCTTATTGAATTTATGAAGTCTGTGTGACGAGAATATTGTGAATACACCAGCTCTTGTGTAATTGTTATATCACTGGCCTTGTTCTTGAGTACGATCGAAGAGACCTACGAACTATATCCATTCACCTTGGCCAAGCTAGGCACATCTATTTCTTGGGGGATGTCAAGGCACGACTGTGCCACACCAGGACTGAAATTGTGCACGAGCATCAATGTTTCCATTGTGGCTTATTTGTGCAGACTTGTTGCTCCTTGCCTCTTCAACTTTGAAGTAAACATTGGTCCTATCTATGTTGGCCTTGCCTGTGGTTGGGAATCACTATCTAGGATGATCTCAGAGAGGTATGGGCAAGTCTTGACCAGTATGAGAGCTAGTTCTAGTGTACCACGATTGTCTGTGTGCTGCAAGATCTGCATCTCTAAATGGTACCACCAGTGTCTGTGTGCTGCAAGATCTGCATCTCCAAATGGTATCACCAGTGTCTATGTGCTGCATAATCTGCATCTTTAAATGTTACCACCATTGTCTGTATGCTGCAAGATCTACATCTCCAAATGGTAGCACCATTGTCTGTGTGCTGCAAGATCTACATCTCCAAATGGTATCACCATTGTCTGTGTGCTGCCAGATCTACATCTCCAAATGGTACCACCATTGTCTGTGTGCTGCAAGATCTGCATCTATAAATGGTATCACCATTGTCTGTATGCTGCAAGATCTACATCTCCAAATGGTACCACCATTGTCTGTGTGCTGCAAGATCTGCATCTATAAATGGTACCACCATTGTCTGTGTGCTGCAAGATCTACATCTCCAAATGGCACCACCAGTGTCTATGTGCTGCATAATCTGCATCTCCAAATGGTATCACCATTGTCTGTGTGCTGCCAGATCTGCATCTCCAAATAGTATCACCATTGTCTGTGTGCTGCAAGATCTGCATCTATAAAATGGTACCACCATTGTCTGTATGCTGCAAGATTTGCATCTCCAAACGGTAAAACCATTGTCTGTGTGCTGCAAGATCTGCATCTCCAAATGGTATCACCATTGTCTGTATGCTGCAAGATCTACATCTCCAAATGGTAGCACCATTGTCTGTGTGCTGCAAGATCTACATCTCCAAATGGTATCACCATTGTCTGTGTGCTGCCAGATCTGCATCTCCAAATGGTATCACCATTGTCTGTGTGCTGCCAGATCTGCATCTCCAAATGGTATCACCATTGTCTGTGTGCTGCAAGATCTGCATCTATAAAATGGTACCACCATTGTCTGTATGCTGCAAGATTTGCATCTCCAAACGGTAAAACCATTGTCTGTATGCTGCAAGATCTACATCTCCAAATGGTAGCACCATTGTCTGTGTGCTGCGAGATCTACATCTCCAAATGGTATCACCATTGTCTGTGTGCTGCCAGATCTGCATCTCCAAATGGTATCACCATTGTCTGTGTGCTGCCAGATCTGCATCTCCAAATGGTATCACCATTGTCTGTGTGCTGCAAGATCTGCATCTATAAAATGGTACCACCATTGTCTGTATGCTGCAAGATTTGCATCTCCAAACGGTAAAACCATTGTCTGTGTGCTGCAAGATCTGCATCTCCAAATGGTATCACCATTGTCTGTATGCTGCAAGATCTACATCTCCAAATGGTACCACCATTGTCTGTGTGCTGCAAGATCTGCATCTATAAATGGTATCACCATTGTCTGTATGCTGCAAGATCTACATCTCCAAATGGTACCACCATTGTCTGTGTGCTGCAAGATCTGCATCTATAAATGGTATCACCATTGTCTGTGTGCTGCAAGATCTACATCTCCAAATGGTACCACCATTGTCTGTGTGCTGCAAGATCTGCATCTCCAAATGGTATCACCATTGTCTGTATGTTACAAGATCTACATCTCCAAATGGTACCACCATTGTCTGTGTGCTGCAAGATCTGCATCTATAAATGGTACCACCATTGTCTGTGTGCTGCAAGATCTACATCTCCAAATGGCACCACCAGTGTCTATGTGCTGCAAGATCTGCATCTTTAAATGGTACCACCATTGTCTGTGTGCTGCAAGATCTGCATCTCTAAATGGTATCACCATTGTCTCTGTGCTGCAAAATTTGCATCTCCAAACGTACCACCATTGTCTGTGTGCTGCAAGATCTGCATCTATAAATGGTACCACCATTGTCTGTGTGCTGCAAGATCTGCATCTATAAATGGTACCACCATTGTCTGTGTGCTGCAAGATCTGCATCTATAAATGGTACCACCATTGTCTGTGTGCTGCAAGATCTGCATCTATAAATGGTACCACCATTGTCTGTGTGCTGCAAGATCTACATCTCCAAATGGCACCACCAGTGTCTATGTTCTGCAAGATCTGCATCTTTAAATGGTACCACCATTGTCTGTATGCTGCAAGATCTACATCTCCAAATGGCACCACCAGTGTCTGTGTGCTGCAAGATCTGCATCTCTAAATGGCACAAGTGTCCAGAATGTCAAAAATTGCAGTAAATGTCTCTGGACTGAATTCCTAACTCTAAAATGGCATCTTTAATGTCAATATTTGCATGAAGCCAAATCAACAAACCTGAAATACCAACTGCTAGAACTAGTAAAGTGATGGCCAGGGCAGCCTGAGTGTGATCCAGGAAACTCATGGCAGTCAGTAACACCGCAGGTACCAGATTGGCTGAAACAACAATGTTTTATGTTTACTCGTTGATATAGCGATTAAAAAAAAAAAAAACTTTGTTGCCTTCTTTCATAATCTACTAGTATATGGTTTTTAGGCTTTCCTCACCATGTCTCACAACCAAGGAAGTCTTAAGGCACACCCTGCCTATTCTGCACTACAAAACTTAAAACTTGTGTCCATCTGTGTCAGAAAAATTGTGTTTCTGTAGTGTGTTTCCTAAATGTTACATGTTTATTTGCTTGAGCCTGGTTTCTGTTTCCCAGATCTGTTCTTGTGTCTTGGTACATTAGGTTGCAGTGATTTATCTGTATCCCTGTAGTGTGTGTTCTATCCTGTGTGTGATGAGGTTCTGGTCAGATTGTATACATTATATTTCTTCTTCTTGGTGTTCAGCAGCTGTAAACTCTGGTGGAAAGTTCTGGTTGTTCGTCCACTTCTAGACTGCACTCCTGTTCCAGAAATTGAGTGTTGTGTGTGCATCTGTTTGACATATCTGTCTAATCTGTATGCAGACTGTTGGTTCCTTGCCTCTCAGCCTTATGCACTCTGAAGGAAGCTACACAGTATATTTTGGACACTTCATAAATGACTGCAGCATTTGGGTTAGAGTTATTACATGTGTGATTTCCGTATTCCACGTAGGATCTTGATGCATGATGTTACTAGTTCAGGATGTACTGACAAAGTTTCACATCATTGCAATTTCTGAAGACAACTAAATAGCTACTTAGTTAGTTTGTGTCAGTACAGTCTCTCACCTGTCAGTACAGTCTCTCACCTGTCAGTACAGTCTCTCTCTCCTGTTAGTAAAGTCTCTCACCTGTCAGTACAGTCTCTCTCTCCTGTTAGTACAGTCTCTCACCTGTCAGTACAGTCTCTCTCACCTGTCAGTACAGTCTCTCACCTGTCAGTACAGTCTCTCACCTGTCAGTACAGTCTCTCACCTGTCAGTACAGTCTCTCACCTGTCAGTACAGTCTCTCACCTGTCAGTACAGTCTCTCACCTGTCAGTACAGTCTCTCACCTGTCAGTACAGTCTCTCACCTGTCAGTACAGTCTCTCACCTGTCAGTACACAGTCTCTCACCTGTCAGTACAGTCTCTCACCTGTCAGTACACAGTCTCTCACCTGTCAGTACACAGTCTCTCACCTGTCAGTACACAGTCTCTCACCTGTCAGTACACAGTCTCTCACCTGTCAGTACAGTCTCTCACCTGTCAGTACAGTCTCTCACCTGTCAGTACAGTCTCTCACCTGTCAGTACAGTCTCTCACCTGTCAGTACAGTCTCTCACCTGTCAGTACACAGTCTCTCACCTGTCAGTACAGTCTCTCACCTGTCAGTACAGTCTCTCACCTGTCAGTACAGTCTCCCACCTGTCAGTACAGTCTCTCACCTGTCAGTACAGTCTCTCACCTGTCAGTACAGTCTCTCACCTGTCAGTACAGTCTCTCACCTGTCAGTACAGTCTCTCACCTGTCAGTACAGTCTCTCACCTGTCAGTACACACAGCCTCCTTGTCCACAGAATACTCAGAATTCTTCTCCTGATCACAAAGTCACTGATACCGCCTGCGGCTTGCGTTACAAACAGGAGGGCTATGTAAGGCAGCATTGTGAAGACACCGTTCTGCAAACATGCAATAAAATTGATTGGTACATGTGACTTTTTTTTTTTGGAAACAACAGTCTATTTGCAAATACAAACAATGATGTGTGCAGTCAGAGATAGAGTTCAGTGATGTGTGAACCAAAAAAAAGAGTTAAGTAAAAAGGTAAAGGTAAAGTCGGGAGATGTGAACCAGTGTCATTGCACACGGTTATAAACCATAAGTTCTTTGCCACCAGTACGGACAGGTGATAAGAATTGTCCGCCTGTGTCGCCGTTCGCACGTAACTCTGTAGCTACAGCCACGTTCCTCCATTTACCCTAGAGTGTCATTCTGGTACCCATTACCAAGAGACTGGGTGAACCCCGGGAGCCGCCTGGTTTGGAACACCGACCATGGCCTGCAGCGAGTCGCAGCTGGATTTGAAAGCGAGCTTCTTATCGACTGCGCTAGTGCAGCCCCAAAAAGTTAAAAGATGTGTGCAGTCAGAAATAGAGTTCGGTGATGTGTGCAGTCCGAAATAGAGTTCAGTGATTTGTGTTGTCAGTGTGCAATAGATCTAAGACAATTAAGGCTTTGGCAAAAGACAAGCTTTTACACAAGTTAAAGAATTAAAATATCAAGGCAGTAGATTTCCAGAGAATAACAAAATAAATCAGAGACACAACAAGCAACATGTCAAAGAGCCAGTGCACTTGTATACCAGCTGATGCCATTATTAAGACACTCAACAAAAGTAAGACTGCTAAGAAACATAAACAGCATAGTCAAACCAACACTGTGCTACCAGTGCCATACCAACACTGGGCTACAAGTGCCATACCAACACTGGGCTACCAGTGCCATACCAACACTGTGCTACCAGTGCCATATAAACACTGCTACCAGTGCCATACCAACACAGGGCTACCAGTGCCATACCAACACTGGGCTACCAGTGCCATACCAACACTACTACCAATGCCATACTAACACTGTGCTACCAGTGCCAAACGTGGACATTAGCAGATGTTAACCTGTGTAAAATTAATATCTGTGAGATGAAATTCTCAAGTAAAGCCACTAAATTAACGATCCAAGACAAATGAGAAACGATACTACCCAACAGACAACAGTAACAAAACCCTGCACCAAATTCATGAAAACCAAAAGATCAAATGGTTTAGCCATCTGTAAGAAAACAGGCGACAGAGGGAGACTGATTGAAGACAAAGATCTTCTGAATCCACACAGGATGACAATAGTCTATGCTAGCCGTGCACTGAACCATGAATCACACTATTCTTCCCCACAGCAATTACCAGCACAGGTGGAAGCACGATAATGATGAAACATTGTGGTCATATCAAGTGCCACTGTGGATTGGACAAACAAAAAATAGCAGAAGGCATGGCACCAGGAAGGAGGGGGACGGAGGAGCAACGCGGAAATGGGCTCAGGATATGAGTAACTGTTGGATATGAAAGTGCACAGGGACAGAGAGTTGAGCTGAGCTGAGTTAACAATTGACATCACAGCATTCCCATGCATGCTACGTCCTCATCCAGTGCACCATAGTTCCAATACTGATGGTAATGGTCACAATCTGGTTACATGTCTGTCTTGCCTTTCCTCTGAGTTCTAGCGAGCCAGCCAGACTCTGGTTACACCCAGGTGCGTCATTCTCTCCAGGCCATAATAATATTGTTTCTGTGCTGATTCCGTTGCTTGTTCCCAAAGGGCTTTGACCATATCTGCCTTGTCATGTATCACTTCACCACCCAGTGGTGCAGATCCAGCCAATCTGTCTGCCTGTTCATTTCCCACTACGCCGGCAATGCCTGGAGAAAAGATCCAAAGTATGCTCACTACCCGTAACCTTTCCATTGAAGCTTGCCACTCTGCTCAACGCATCTCCATCTTTCTCGGCATGCTTTCAGAGTCTGTTACAATTACGACATGTGTATGCACATTGTTCTCTAGCCACAGGAGAGCTCCAGTTACCGCCTCCACCTCCATTATCATGCTAGATGTGATGTTGTATGCTAGGCTGTCTTGCACTAAAGATTTTTTATTTCTTGCACCAAACATTTTCCAGGGTGGAAGAGAGAGACTGAGCTTCTTTCAGACAGAATTGTGATGAGAACAGCATTGTGCAAGAGACCTGCTACATGATGACGATGAAAGCTGACTCACCGACTTGATGTCAAACCTGAGCACCTCGTACATGTACTGTGGCAGTGTCGAGAGTATCAGCAGCAGTCCCCAGGTGAAGCTGAACTGACCAATGACGATGCCCCAGAAGGGAAGTGATGTCATTATGGAGCTCCAGGGCACTTTTGGCTGACAACAAAATAATCATCAATTTACAAAGTGATGACTAAATGTGTGGCTGACAACAAATAAAACATCATTTTAAAAAGTGATGACTGAATAATTGGCTGACACACACAAAAAACATGAATTTAAAAACTGATGACTGAATGATTTGCTGACAATTATTAAAAATCAATTTAAAAAGTGATGACTAAATATTTGGCTGGCAACAAATAAAACATCAATTTAAAAAGTGATGACTGAATGATGCAGAGAGAAATAAAACCAACATAGAATCAACATAATCATAAAGTATAAGAAATAATTACCATCACCAAGTACCATATCCATATTGAATATTTGCTGTAAAAGTTCTCCAGTGTTTGTGCCAGTCCATGTTTTGATGTAGTCCATCTTGCCATGCATTCTTTAGGACACTTCTATCTTTCCGTCCTGAAGACTTTATAACAAAGAACTGAGCCCTCATGAGAGCTAAACTTGCCAGAAATGTGTCTCAGTGAGAGACTGTTTTACTTCAGTCTCACATGTTGATCCACTTGTTCTATGTCTTCTCTGGCTACCCCATTGTTTCCTCGACCATCAGGTCTGACAAGTATCACACAAGTCCTCAGTTTTATCTATTATATGATCACTTTTACTGCAGTTAGGTTCTGCATCCTCATTCCATAGATCAAGAATTTCACTGTGTGTTTGTGTGTGTGCACATGTGTTCATAACTTACAAGTGTTAAGAGAGGCTACCTATGTTAGAGTGTGCGTGTATGTGTGTTATTAAAAAGCATACATACTTGCCTTGTGTGTGGAGTGTGAGACAGGGCTGAAGTGATATAACTCCTCTCTCGCTCTGTGATGAACCGGTGGACTGACGGTGACTCGTCCGTGAAACAGAAGAAGAGAATGATCCACAGAAAACCAAAGATGCCTTGAAGAGACAAACCATTCATCAAAAGATGGAGGTCACATTGTTAGATTTGTGTAAGAGAGACACACACAAAAACATAGTACAAATCTGGACAAACAACAAAATGTGTTAGTGCATAACTAGATAAACAACAAAGTAAATTAGTTAATAACTTGATAAACAACAAAGTAAATTAGTTCATAACTCGATAAAATGTGTTAGTGCATAACTAGATAAACAACAAAGTAAATTAGTTCATAACTTGATAAACAACAAAGTAAATTAGTTCATAACTTGATAAACAACAAAGTAAATTAGTTCATAACTCGATAAAATGTGTTAGTGCATAACTAGATAAACAACAAAGTAAATTAGTTCATAACTTGATAAACAACAAAGTAAATTAGTTAATAACTTGATAAACAACAAAGTAAATTAGTTCATAACTTGATAAACAACAAAGTAAATTAGTTCATAACTTGATAAACAACAAAGTAAATTAGTTAATAACTTGATAAAATGTGTTAGTGCATAACTAGATAAACAACAAAGTAAATTAGTTCATAACTTGATAAACAACAAAGTAAATTAGTTCATAACTTGATAAACAACAAAGTAAATTAGTTCATAACTTGATAAACAACAAAGTAAATTAGTTCATAACTCGATAAAATGTGTTAGTGCATAACTAGATAAACAACAAAGTAAATTAGTTCATAACTCGATAAAATGTGTTAGTGCATAACTAGATAAACAACAAAGTAAATTAGTTTATAACTCGATAAAATGTGTTAGTGCATAACTAGATAAACAACAAAGTAAATTAGTTCATAACTCGATAAAATGTGTTAGTGCATAACTAGATAAACAACAAAGTAAATTAGTTAATAACTTGATAAACAACAAAGTAAATTAGTTAATAACTTGATAAACAACAAAGTAAATTAGTTCATAACTTGATAAACAACAAAGTAAATTAGTTCATAACTTGATAAACAACAAAGTAAATTAGTTCATAACTCGATAAAATGTGTTAGTGCATAACTAGATAAACAACAAAGTAAATTAGTTCATAACTTGATAAACAACAAAGTAAATTAGTTCATAACTTGATAAACAACAAAGTAAATTAGTTCATAACTTGATAAACAACAAAGTAAATTAGTTCATAACTTGATAAACAACAAAGTAAATTAGTTCATAACTCGATAAAATGTGTTAGTGCATAACTAGATAAACAACAAAGTAAATTAGTTCATAACTTGATAAACAACAAAGTAAATTAGTTCATAACTTTATAAACAACAAAGTAAATTAGTTCATAACTTGATAAACAACAAAGTAAATTAGTTCATAACTCAATAAAATGTGTTAGTGCATAACTAGATAAACAACAAAGTAAATTAGTTCATAACTTGATAAAATGTGTTAGTGCATAACTAGATAAACAACAAAGTAAATTAGTTCATAACTCGATAAAATGTGTTAGTGCATAACTAGATAAACAACAAAGTAAATTAGTTTATAACTCGATAAAATGTGTTAGTGCATAACTAGATAAACAACAAAGTAAATTAGTTCATAACTCGATAAAATGTGTTAGTGCATAACTAGATAAACAACAAAGTAAATTAGTTAATAACTTGATAAACAACAAAGTAAATTAGTTAATAACTTTATAAACAACAAAGTAAATTAGTTCATAACTCAATAAAATGTGTTAGTGAATAACTAGATAAACAACAAAGTAAATTAGTTCATAACTTGATAAACAACAAAGTAAATTAGTTCATAACTTGATAAACAACAAAGTAAATTAGTTCATAACTCGATAAAATGTGTTAGTGCATAACTAGATAAACAACAAAGTAAATTAGTTCATAACTTGATAAACAACAAAGTAAATTAGTTAATAACTTGATAAACAACAAAGTAAATTAGTTCATAACTTGATAAACAACAAAGTAAATTAGTTCATAACTTGATAAACAACAAAGTAAATTAGTTAATAACTTGATAAAATGTGTTAGTGCATAACTAGATAAACAACAAAGTAAATTAGTTCATAACTTGATAAACAACAAAGTAAATTAGTTCATAACTTGATAAACAACAAAGTAAATTAGTTCATAACTTGATAAACAACAAAGTAAATTAGTTCATAACTCGATAAAATGTGTTAGTGCATAACTAGATAAACAACAAAGTAAATTAGTTAATAACTTGATAAACAACAAAGTAAATTAGTTAATAACTTGATAAACAACAAAGTAAATTAGTTCATAACTCGATAAAATGTGTTAGTGCATAACTAGATAAACAACAAAGTAAATTAGTTAATAACTCGATAAAATGTATTAGTTTATAACTAGATAAACAACAAAGTAAATTAGTTCCTAACTCAATAAAATGTATTAGTTTATAACTTGATAAACAAAGTAAATTTTTTCATAACTCGATAAAATGTATTAGTTTATAACTAGATAAACAACAAAGTAAATTAGTTCCTAACTGGATAAAATGTATTAGTTTATAACTTGATAAACAAAGTAAATTTTTTCATAACTCGATAAAATGTATTAGTTTATAACTAGATAAACAACAAAGTAAATTAGTTCCTAACTCGATAAAATGTATTAGTTTATAACTTGATAAACAAAGTAAATTTTTTCATAACTGGATAAAATGTATTAGTTCATAACTAGATAAACAACAAAGTAAATTAGTTCCTAACTGGATAAAATGTATTAGTAAATTTTTATAAATTGATAAACAACAAAGTAAATTAGTTCCTAACTGGATAAAATGTATTAGTTTATAACTTGATAAACAAAGTAAATTTTTCATAACTGGATAAAATGTATTAGTTCATAACTAGATAAACAACAAAGTAAATTAGTTCCTAACTGGATAAAATGTATTAGTTTATAACTTGATAAACAACAAAGTAAATTAGTTCCTAACTGGATAAAATGTATTAGTTTATAACTTGATAAACAAAGTAAATTTTTCATAACTGGATAAATGTATTAGTTCATAACTAGATAAACAACAAAGTAAATTAGTTCCTAACTGGATAAAATGTATTAGTTCATAACTAGATAAACAACAAAGTAAATTAGTTCCTAACTGGATAAAATGTATTAGTTCATAACTAGATAAACAACAAAGTAAATTAGTTCCTAACTGGATAAAATGTATTAGTTCATGTCTGGACCAGCAACAAAATACGTCATCACACAGCCAGCAGAGAGTGTGTGACCATCTCATGAGAATGCCCCGAGAACTGCCACACAAAAGACATTTAATGGAGACACAGCCAGCAGAGAGTGTGTGACCATCTCATGAGAATGCCCCGAGAACTGCCACACAAAAGACATTTAATGGAGACACAGCCAGCAGAGAGTGTGTGACCATCTCATGAGATTGCCCCGAGAACTGCCACACAAAACACATTTAATGGAGACACAGCCAGCAGAGAGTGTGTGACCATCTCATGAGAATGCCCCGAGAACTGCCACACAAAACACATTTAATGGAGACACAGCCAGCAGAGAGTGTGTGACCATCTCATGAGATTGCCCCGAGAACTGCCACACAAAACACATTTAATGGAGACACAGCCAGCAGAGAGTGTGTGACCATCTCATGAGAATGCCCCGAGAACTGCCACACAAAAGACATTTAATGGAGACACAGCCAGCAGAGAGTGTGTGACCATCTCATGAGAATGCCCCGAGAACTGCCACACAAAAGACATTTAATGGAGACACAGCCAGCAGAGAGTGTGTGACCATCTCATGAGATTGCCCCGAGAACTGCCACACAAAACACATTTAATGGAGACACAGCCAGCAGAGAGTGTGTGACCATCTCATGAGAATGCCCCGAGAACTGCCACACAAAAGACATTTAATGGACACACAGCAAAGTCAAGACAATTCAAGACATTTAATGGAGACACAGCCAGCAGAGAGTGTGTGACCATCTAATGAGAATGCCCCGAAAACTGCCACACAAAAGACATTTAATGGACACACAGCAAAGTCAAGACAATTCAAGACATTTAATGGAGACACAGCCAGCAGAGAGTGTGTGACCATCTCATGAGATTGCCCCGAGAACTGCCACACAAAACACATTTAATGGAGACACAGCCAGCAGAGAGTGTGTGACCATCTCATGAGAATGCCCCGAGAACTGCCACACAAAACACATTTAATGGAGACACAGCCAGCAGAGAGTGTGTGACCATCAAATGAGATTGCCCCGAGAACTGCCACACAAAACACATTTAATGGAGACACAGCCAGCAGAGAGTGTGTGACCATCTCATGAGAATGCCCCGAGAACTGCCACACAAAAGACATTTAATGGACACACAGCAAAGTCAAGACAATTCAAGACATTTAATGGAGACACAGCCAGCAGAGAGTGTGTGACCATCTCATGAGAATGCCCCGAAAACTGCCACACAAAAGACATTTAATGGACACACAGCAAAGTCAAGACAATTCAAGACATTTAATGGAGACACAGCCAGCAGAGAGTGTGTGACCATCTCATGAGATTGCCCCGAGAACTGCCACACAAAACACATTTAATGGAGACACAGCCAGCAGAGAGTGTGTGACCATCTCATGAGATTGCCCCGAGAACTGCCACACAAAAGACATTTAATGGACACACAGCAAAGTCAAGACAATTCAAGACATTTAATGGAGACACAGCCAGCAGAGAGTGTGTGACCATCTCATGAGATTGCCCCGAGAACTGCCACACAAAAGACATTTAATGGACACACAGCAAAGTCAAGACAATTCAAGACATTTAATGGAGACACAGCCAGCAGAGAGTGTGTGACCATCTCATGAGATTGCCCCGAGAACTGCCACACAAAACACATTTAATGGAGACACAGCCAGCAGAGAGTGTGTGACCATCTCATGAGAATGCCCCGAGAACTGCCACACAAAAGACATTTAATGGACACACAGCCAGCAGAGAGTGTGTGACCATCTCATGAGAATGCCCCGAGAACTGCCACACAAAAGACATTTAATGGAGACACAGCCAGCAGAGAGTGTGTGACCATCTCATGAGATTGCCCCGAAAACTGCCACACAAAAGACATTTAATGGACACACAGCAAAGTCAAGACAATTCAAGACATTTAATGGAGACACAGCCAGCAGAGAGTGTGTGACCATCTCATGAGATTGCCCCGAGAACTGCCACACAAAACACATTTAATGGAGACACAGCCAGCAGAGAGTGTGTGACCATCTCATGAGAATGCCCCGAGAACTGCCACACAAAAGACATTTAATGGACACACAGCCAGCAGAGAGTGTGTGACCATCTCATGAGAATGCCCCGAGAACTGCCACACAAAAGACATTTAATGGAGACACAGCCAGCAGAGAGTGTGTGACCATCTCATGAGAATGCCCCGAGAACTGCCACACAAAAGACATTTAATGGACACACAGCCAGCAGAGAGTGTGTGACCATCTCATGAGATTGCCCCGAGAACTGCCACACAAAAGACATTTAATGGAGACACAGCCAAGTCAAGACAATGGAAGACATTTAATGGACACACAGCAAAGTCAAGACAGTTTAAACTATGGAACTATAGCATCAAGAATAGCCTCAAAGAAATAAAGACCAGCTGGTATAACATATCTGAAAGAGCTCACACAAGATCATCAGAAAAATCAGTTTGTGTGCCTTCTGTCTTGCCTTGAAGGTTTGACAACAAGAATCTCACAGCAGATAGCAAACTCCAGACATCCCATTTAACCTCCAGAAGTGCTATACCTGGGGCACCTGTAAAATGAATCCATGTACTAGTGCCTGTCCTGTGAAGGACAGGATGTCAGTAAGCCAACTGAAGCTTAAACATGATCTAACTGTGTGCCACTTTACAAAATGTGTGTTAATACAAAGGTTTCAAAAGAATACGAACCAAAGACATAGAAAATGGAAGGCCATCCTCCAAGGAAGCCATGTTTACACAGCAGTCCTGACACAGGGAAAACAATAATATTGCCAAGATTCTGTCCTGACATGGCCAGCGTGATGAGACTGGCTCGCTCGGCGGGTGGGGCCCATTTGCTCCACATACCATACATTGCAATTATAGCCAGAGCCTACAAGAAATTCAAAACATTACAATAGACAAATAAATTCATAATCCCACATTAACTTCTGTCATTATATCCCTTTGATTGGAAACAAGGCCGTGAACTATGGCAGTTAGGTCCCCTGTGTTTGACCTTGTGTATCCCTCTCAACTACAGCTGCACTCAAAGTCACTGTAGTGATTTTTTCTTCCCTTTCTTCTCATAGTTTAAAATGTGTAGCATTGGTAGTGAGGTGTATTGTCAGCCTTCTGTCTCATGTACTTTCAGTTAATTCTGATACAGATGATCTTCAATTTCTTGGTCTTCATCTGCCACTTTTCCCCTCCAACTCTCCCAGTTTTTGCACTTTTAGCTCAACATCCTGTGCGCCACTTTACAAAATCTGGTGGTGTGATTCATGGTTAAAATTCTGCATGTTGGCAGTTCTTAAATCTGATTGATAAAGCAACCTCATTTGATGCTCTTATTTTATAGTTTGTTTTAAAGGGGAAATAACAAAATGTTTGTTTTTTCTTAATACAGGCAATGTAAGAGTTTATAAATATATTAAGGTTCATAGCTCTGGCGAAAGTAAACTTTTACTGATTGTTGTAATCAATTTTTTAAAATGCACAATAACCTGGGCCACAAGTGTGACTATTAAACTAAATACTGTACTCACAATAGAAAATGTAAATTCAACCCGTGTATTGGTCAGGGCTTGGGAGGAGTTAACACTTCATTTATAATAAACATACAAATTAACTTCCAGTCATCTCCTTGTGAGATGAAATTTTTTTTTTATGTTGAAGCCCCACCCTGGCCCTTGCCAGGGGCTGCAATATAGCCGACCATATACATGGTCTAATGGCTGAACGTGGTGATCCTCACCCACATGGTGGCACTTTGTGTCATCGCCATCATCGGGTGTTTATCGCTTGTGTGATGTCCTGGTTGGGTAAAAATCTACTACCACTAAACATGCGAAATACAGAAAGGGTTTATGATTTATGGTACAGATAAAAACAAATAACTAATCCAGAAAGAAACTATTACCTTTTTTACACCTCAGGACTAAAAATTAATTTTAATGGTTTAAATATAAAATTAATTTTTTAAAATATATATATAATAGGGGTGTGAACGTAGCATAGCGGCTAGACACTTGCGTTCAGATTGGAAGATCATGGGTTCACTTCCTGGCGGAGCATGCTTTTTTTTTTAAATGACCTTTACTCCCAGGGCAAACTAGCTTTGAGTGGGTACCAGGAGCAGTCCCGGAAAGTAAAGGTGGCCGGTCTGATGCTGACCAAATCACTTATCTTGTGCCGATTGGTCTAAAAATAATATAGGTCTAGCCCTAAATGCCTTATACGCCTAAAGGCGTAGAAAAGGGACCTTCACATTATTAAATAATATAATAATAAATCAATCAATTCAATTCAGAAAAAAAGTGAATAATAAAAATTTAAAAAAAGAATAGTATGCTACTATGAACACAGCAGAAGTATGCCACAAATCCTGATAAACAGACATGTGATAATCAGACTTGTGATAAACAGATTTCTCACAAAGAGTTTTGTGATAGACTTGAAATAGAGAGAACTGTGATAAACAGACGTGTGATAGAGAGAACACAGACTTGAAATAGAGAGAACTGTGATAAACAGACATGTGATAGAGAGAACACAGACTTGAAATAGAGAGAACTGTGATAAACAGACATATGATAGAGAGAACACAGACTTGAAATAGAGAGAACTGTGATAAACAGACGTGTGATAGAGAGAACTGTGATAAACAGACGTGTGATAGAGAGAACACAGACTTGAAATAGAGAGAACTGTGATAAACAGACGTGTGATAGAGAGAACACAGACTTGAAATAGAGAGAACTGTGATAAACAGACATGTGATAGAGAGAACACAGACTTGAAATAGAGAGAACTGTGATAAACAGACCTGTGATAGAGAGAACTGTGATAAACAGACGTGTGATAGAGAGAACTGTGATAAACAGACGTGTGATAGAGAGAACACAGACTTGAAATAGAGAGAACTGTGATAAACAACTTGTGATAGAGAGAACTGTGATAAGCAACTTGTGATAGAGAGAACTGTGATAAACAACTTGTGATAGAGAGAACTGTGATAAACAACTTGTGATAGAGAGAACTGTGATAAACAACTTGTGATAGAGAGAACTGTGATAAACAGACTTGTGATAAAAATAACTGTGATAACCTGATTTCTGATAAAGAGATGTGTGATCAAGAGAATTATGACAGACATGTGGCAAAGAGACTTGCGACAAAGAGAACTGAGATAAACAGACATGTCACAGAAAGACATGTTATTAAAAAAAAAAAGAATGAAAAAGGGCACCTATAGCTAAAACAGATGACGGCTATGAATAGGACAGACATGAAATAACCCAAGTTATCAATGGTCCATGAGAAAATCATCTGGTGACAATGATATGACGATAATCCCAGTGACATGACATGTGGTCACTACTTACAGTGCAGGCTCCTTGAACAAGCTTGACCACAAACACTGCCCACGGACTCAACAAGGCGGCTACGTGCAGCAGCATGGTCATCACAGACATGACACTCATCGAATACAGGATAATGGTTTTCTTTTTGACCTTCCTAACAACGAGATTTGCAGGGATAGAGACCATCATATAGGTCCAGTAGATGGCTCCAAGCAGCAGACCTTGCACCTCCTTGTCCCACACCAGAGGACCATCCTGGGAGGAAGAGAACACCAGGTCAGTCAGTACAGAGAACACCAGGTCAGTCAATACAGAGAACACCAGGTCCCTCAGTACAGAGAACACCAGGTCAGTCAGTACAGAGAACACCAGGTCAGTCAACACAGAGAACACCAGGTCAGTCAGTACAGAGAACACCAGGTCAGTCAGTACAGAGAACACCAGGTCCCTCAGTACAGAGAACACCAGGTCAGTCAACACAGAGAACACCAGGTCAGTCAGTACAGAGAACACCAGGTCAGTCAGTACAGAGAACACCAGGTCAGTCAGTACAGAGAACACCAGGTCAGTCAGTACAGAGAACACCAGGTCCCTCAGTACAGAGAACACCAGGTCAGTCAACACAGAGAACACCAGGTCAGTCAACACAGAGAACACCAGGTCAGTCAGTACAGAGAACACCAGGTCCCTCAGTACAGAGAACACCAGGTCAGTCAACACAGAGAACACCAGGTCAGTCAGTACAGAGAACACCAGGTCAGTCAGTACAGAGAACACCAGGTCCCTCAGTACAGAGAACACCAGGTCAGTCAGTACAGAGAACACCAGGTCAGTCAACACAGAGAACACCAGGTCAGTCAACACAGAGAACAACAGGTCAGTCAACACAGAGAACACCAGGTCAGTCAGTCAGGTCAGTCAGCACAGAGAACACCAGGTCAGTCAGCACAGAGAACACCAGGTCAGTCAACACAGAGAACAACAGGTCAGTCAACACAGAGAACACCAGGTCAGTCAGTACAGAGAACACCAGGTCAGTCAGTACAGAGAACACCAGGTCAGTCAGTACAGAGAACACCAGGTCAGTCTGCACAGAGAACACCAGGTCAGTCTGCACAGAGAACACCAGGTCAGTCAACACAGAGAACAACAGGTCAGTCAACACAGAGAACACCAGGTCAGTCAACACAGAGAACACCAGGTCAGTCAGTACAGAGAACACCAGGTCAGTCAGTACAGAGAACACCAGGTCAGTCAATAGAGAGAACACCAGGTCAGTCAATAGAGAGAACACCAGGTCAGTCAATAGAGAGAACACCAGGTCTGTCAGTACAGAGAACACCAGGTCAGTCAGTACAGAGAACACCAGGTCAGTCAGTACAGAGAACACCAGGTCAGTCAGTACAGAGAACACCAGGTCAGTCAGTACAGAGAACACCAGGTCAGTCAGTACAGAGAACACCAGGTCAGTCAGTACAGAGAACACCAGGTCAGTCAGCACAGAGAACACCAGGTCAGTCAGTACAGAGAACACCAGGTCAGTCAACACAGAGAACACCAGGTCAGTCAGTACAGAGAACACCAGGTCAGTCACCACAGAGAACACCAGGTCAGTCAGCCCAGAGAACACCAGGTCAGTCAGTACAGAGAACACCAGGTCAGTCAGTACAGAGAACACCAGGTCAGTCAGTACAGAGAACACCAGGTCAGTCAGCACAGAGAACACCAGGTCAGTCAGTACAGAGAACACCAGGTCAGTCAACACAGAGAACACCAGGTCAGTCAGTACAGAGAACACCAGGTCAGTCAGCACAGAGAACACCAGGTCAGTCAGTACAGAGAACACCAGGTCAGTCAACACAGAGAACACCAGGTCAGTCAGTACAGAGAACACCAGGTCAGTCAGCACAGAGAACACCAGGTCAGTCAGCACAGAGAACACCAGGTCAGTCAGTACAGGGAACACCAGGTCAGTCAATACAGAGAACACCAGGTCAGTCAGCACAGAGAACACCAGGTCAGTCAGTACAGAGAACACCAGGTCAGTCGGTACAGAGAACACCAGCTCAGTCAGTACAGAGAACACCAGGTCAGTCAGCACAGAGAACACCAGGTCTGTCAGTACAGAGAACACCAGATCAGTCAATATAGAGAACACCAGATCAGTCACTACAGAGAACACCAGATCAGTCAATATAGAGAACACCAGGTCAGTCACTACAGAGAACACCAGATCAGTCAGTACAGAGAAAACCAGGTCAGTCACTACAGAGAACACCAGATCAGTCAGTACAGAGAAAACCAGGTCAGTCGATATAGAGAACACCAGGTCAGTCAACACAGAGAACACCAGGTCCGTCAGTACAGAGAACACCAGGTCAGTCAATACAAAGAACACCAGGTCCGTCAGCACAGAGAACACCAGGTCAGTCAGAACAGAGAACACCAGGTCAGTCAGAACAGAGAACACCAGGTAAGTCAGAACAGAGAACACCAGGTCAGTCAATATTCCAGACACCCACAAAACTAGAAGTTAAAAGTGTAATCCAAGGAAAATTATAAATCAAAACAAAAATTTAAACTATTGAGCTTACCATAATACAGTAAAAAAAAAGGAATAACAATTACACAAAGCTTTAATCACCAAACTCAGAATCACTTTTCACACCTTGTCTCTCTCTCAAAGTCAATGTTACTGTCCTTTTTTAGGTGTCACCTTCAGTTCTCTTACACCCATCTTCTTTCTCTCTCTTCCTCTTCCTATTCAAGGATAAACAAATTATTGTATGCTTTCTATTTTGAAATCTACAGATGATGTTATGTAACAAACCTGAACAAAAGCAGTTAAAATGGTCAAACCTTTGAACAAAGAACATAATCAGGAGCACTAGAAATACTGGCAACACAATGAGTGGGATGTTCTTTAAAACAACAGATGTAAAACTATTTTGAGAACAATACAAACCTCTCTCATCTGTTCGTCCGAATCTGACGCACTTTCAGGGTTACATATTTCAGATTTACTGCCAGAGATGGGGAAGGTAGCAAGACTGGAAACATCTGCATCACTGGATGATGATGATGATGTGAACAAATGTTCAGTTTCAATATCAGAATTGTTCATTTCTGCCTTAGAGTTCAAGACGTTCACATGCTGAGAGTAATTGCCTCTTGGTTGCTGACTGTACACACTACTATTCTGAGAATTATGGAACACCAAAATATCATATTCAGGAAAACCACTAGCATGCTCAGAAGTTTTAGAGGATACACTGTAAAGTGAGCTATCCTTCCTGGTTGTGGCAGTTTGGCTGGTACTGTAAATATTGCTGCTGTCGTTGAGATGGTGCTGGTCATGGTGGGTGGTGTTGTAACTGTTGCTGCTGTCGTTGAGATGAGATCGGTCATGGTGGCTGATTGCTGTGTGGTTGACCATACAGAGGATAGCGATGCTGAAGTTCACACGCTGACAGAAGATGTTCATAATTCCACTGAACAAGATGTAAGCCAGGATGTATCTCTGGGCCCGCCACCAGGGAGGACCTACACAAACATTGAGGAAGTTATCATCAACAGGTGTCAGACAATCACAACCATATCAAAGTTAAGTAAAGAACCATTTTCCACACTCTTAGGCATACTGAGCACATAGGGCTTGACCTAAATTCTATAGAGTGGTCAACATCACGCCGGCTGTCTTTACTTCCCACGACTTTACCTGGCACCCATTTAAAGCTGGGTCGATTTTGGAGACAAAGACATTTCTTTAATGTCCAACTCCATCGATAAAAATATATATAAACATTATATGTGAAAATATGTGTCTCAGAATACAAAGGAACAAGAAGAAATGTTAACATCCTAAAAGATCTGAACAAGAACAAAGTCCAGCAAGTAGAAACAGCATTTTGCCTTAAAAACTGAAATATTTTAGCTGTATCAAGTGACCAAGCAAATTGGAAAGAATAGTAACAGGCATTGTGGTGCCAGGAAGAAGAGGCAGGGACGGAGAAGCAGCAAGGTGGACATGTATATGATACTTTGGGTAGGAGAGTGCTTGAGATGTAGGAGCTGGCGAGGGACCAAATTGTTTTCTTCATGGAGGCTGTGAGGAAAGGAAGTCTGCACAAGACCAGCTACCTTTTGATGTTTGGAAATCAAAAATAAGTGAATGCCCAAATTTGTGCTGGATAACAAAAAATAGCTATCATTGCTTCTGTGAGAATCGGCCAGTATGATGCTGACCACATCACCCACCAAGTGCTGTTAGGTCTACAAAATATAGGTCTAGCCCTATATGCCCAACAGGCCTGAGGGAGTGCAAAAGAGCCATTTACTTATTTTGTTTAATTGATTGTTTGTGACAATAATGATAGTGACAACAAAGATGAGCTGATGATGGAACTGCAAGCGAGCATGTAGAATCTTCACAAACACTTCTATTGCTTCTTGAAACAGATCAGTTGATGAGAGCTGCTCCCTCATTTGTGAACCAGATTTGGCACATCATGGGACTTTTGTGCAGTCTGATCCATCTTACTGTTGTCACGGGGGACTTTTGTGCAGTGTGATCCATCTTACTGTGGTCACGGGGGACTTTTGTGCAGTGTGATCCATCTTACTGTGATCACGGGGGACTTTTGTGCAGTGTGATCCATCTTACTGTGGTCACATGGGACTTTTGTTCAGTGTGATCCATCTTACTGTGATCACATGGGACTTTTGTGCAGTGTGATCCATCTTACTGTGGTCACAGGGGACTTTTGTGTAGTGTGATCCATCTTACTGTGATCACATGGAACTTTTGTGCAGTGTGATCCATCTTACTCTGGTCATGGGGGACTTTTATGCAGTCTGATCCATCTTACTGTGACCACATGGAACTTTTGTGTAGTGTGATCCATCTTACTGTGATCACGGGGGACTTTTGTGCAGTGTGATCCATCTTACTGTGACCACGTGGAACTTTTGTGCAGTGTGATCCATCTTACTGTGACCACATGGAACTTTTGTGCAGTGTTATCCATCTTACTGTGGTCACGGGGGACTTTTGTGTAGTGTGATCCATCTTACTCTGGTCACGGGGGACTTTTGTGCAGTGTGATCCATCTTACAGTGGTCACGGGGGACTTTTGTGTAGTGTGATCCATCTTACTCTGGTCACGGGGGACTTTTGTGTAGTGTGATCCATCTTACTCTGGTCACGGGGGACTTTTGTGCAGTCTGATCCATCTTACTGTGGTCACAGGGGACTTTTGTGTAGTGTGATCCATCTTACTGTGGTCACATGGGACTTTTGTGCAGTCTGATCCATCTTACTGTGATCACATGGGACTTTTGTGCAGTGTGATCCATCTTACTGTGGTCACCGGGGACTTTTGTGTAGCGTGATCCATCTTACTGTGGTCACATGGGACTTTAGTGCAGTCTGATCCATCTTACTGTTGTCACGGGGGACTTTTGTGTAGCGTGATCCATCTTACTGTGGTCACTGGGGACTTTTGTGTAGTCTGATCCATCTTACTGTGGTCACATGGGACTTTTGTTCAGTGTGATCCATCTTACTGTGATCACGGGGGACTTTTGTGCAGTGTGATCCATCTTACTGTGATCACATGGAAAAGAATGGACTGACATTGGGACCAGACATTGTGACTGGAGGTAGCAAAAGATAACACAGGAACTTTCTGATACTACATGAACATTCTGATACTACAGGAACATTCTGATACTACAGGAACATTCTGATACTACAGGAACATTCTGATACTACAGGAACATTCTGATACTACAGGAACATTCTGATACTACAGGAACATTCTGATACTACAGGAACATTCTGATACTACAGGAACATTCTAATACTACAGGAACATTCTAATTCTACAGGAACATTCTAATACTACAGGAACATTCTAATTCTACAGGAACATTCTAATTCTACAGGAACATTCTAACACTACAGGAACATTCTAACACTACAGGAACATTCTAATACTACAGGAACATTCTAATACTACAGGAACATTCTAATACTACAGGAACATTCTAATACTACAGGAACATTCTAATACTACAGGAACATTCTAATACTACAGAAACATTCTGATACTACAGGAACATTCTGATACTACAGGAACATTCTCCCAAAAACTGTCATTATTCACATCACTTAAAAGCATTATTGACACATTTTTGGACACTTCCAGAAGGAAATAAAAAACAGATGTAGCAGCCATAAGCACATGAACTTAGACAAAGGCTGACCACAATGTGTACATGTATAATTTTATCACCAGTATTCTACATGGCAGTTTTGAGAGGACGGATGCAACAATATTGTGCAGGATACAGTTATGAGAGGGTAGATACAACAATATTGTGCAGGATACAGTTATGAGAGGGCAGATACAACAATATTGTGCAGGATACAGTTATGAGAGGGTAGATACAACAATATTGTGCAGGATACAGTTTTGAGAGAGCAGATACAACAATATTGTGCAGGATACAGTTATGATAGGGCAGATACAACAATATTGTGCAGGATACAGTTATGAGAGGGCAGATACAACAATATTGTGCAGGACAGTTATGAGAGGGCAGATACAACAATATTGTGCAGGACAGTTATGAGAGGGCAGATACAACAATATTGTGCAGGATACAGTTTTGAGAGGGCAGATACAACAATATTGTGCAGGATACAGTTTTGAGAGGGCAGATACAACAATATTGTGCAGGACAGTAATGAGAGGGCAGATACAACAATATTGTGAAGGACAGTTGTGAGAGGGCAGATACAACAATATTGTGCAGGACAGTTGTGAGAGGGCAGATACAACAATATTGTGCAGGACAGTTGTGAGAGGGCAGATACAACAATATTGTGCAGGACTGTTCTTAGAGTAGACGAACAAATCGGTACTGTACAAAACACAGTTCGGAAAGCACACGTTTAACAATATTGCGAGAGACACGTACAACAATACTGTACATGACATATTTCTGAGAGCACACATACAATACTGTATGTGATAGATTTTTAGAGCCCACATACAAAAATGCTGTACGTAACATATTTCTGAGAGCACATAAAACAATACTGTACATAACATATTAGCTCATTTTTTGTGACAGGAGATGCAAGGAAATAAGCAAGCTGATAGACTTGCAGGTAAGGCTACTGTGAAAGCCGGACAAGCCATGGACCAGGCTGATATACTGTGAATGCTCTAAGAGAGTTAAGACGTTTGCGTAAACCAACTGAGAACTGTAAATCTGCAACCATGGTCAGACTGCAAGAGAGTAATTGCCTCATGTTAAACAGGGTGTCGCCAACAAAGAATACTACGTGGGTAGTTAAAGAAGAAAAATAAACCAACACAGAACTGATGTCATTAGCCACTATATGCTGTGGGATTTACTAAGAGAGGATCCGAGTACTTAAAGACAGAGTGGTTTGACGTGCAATGATGATAAACTGTTGACTAACTAATACAGTTACAAGAAGTGTACTCTAACCTCTATGGCAGATGAAACAACCTGAAATTTCTCATCTACATAGTTTTTTAGAACTACAGATAACAAATTAGGTTCCTCACAGACAGAAGCCACACACACAAAAAATGTGTTTACTGACTGTACCTGTACCTTTATCTCCAACTTTGCTATCAGCAAGTTTGCTGTCTGGTAAATCAAACTTTTCTGTCATGGTGAGCTTGTCTGTGCTATCAGCAAGTTTGGTGTCTGGTAAATCAAACTTTTCTGTCATGGTGAGCTTGTCTGATTTCATATTTGAGTCTGTTGGTTTCACAATGTCTGTTTTCATCTGTGAATATGATGTAGTGTTCACAAACCCTCAGCTATCACCTGGGATCACTGTAGTAACAGTAACATTGTTTTGTATGCTGTAACACACAAAAAATGTAGCAGTAACAGTTGTATTGTATGCTGTAACACACACAAAATGTAGCAGTAATATTACTTGGCTCTCAGCTCGACTGAGCTTCAACTGGGTAACAGGTATAATCCTAGGAAGTAAAAGTGGTCGGTGTGATGACCACATCACCCACCAAGTGCTGACTGACCTCTAACATATGGGTCTAGCCCTATGTGCCCAATTCGCCGGGGGAAAGGGTCCTTTTTATAATTACTTTACATTAAAAATGACCCACTGAGTTTATCTGTTTCTTAGTGCACTTGTATTCATGGCGAGGCGCAGACGCCGTCTGGAGGTGACAGGTTCAGTTCCCGGCACGGTAACTATAGCTTTCGACTTTTATGTTGTCTAGTGTGTTCTATCTTTCTACTTCTTTCTATGAGTGCCGTTCACAATACTTTCTGTTACTTGATTAATTCTGTGACTGTGAGCATTTTTTGTTTTGTGTGTGTGTGTGTTTTGTATGTTGCTCATATTTGTGTAAGTCTGTTTTACATTTGTTGCCGTTTCTAAATTATTGTGGTGTTGTTTGTGAGTGTGTGCAACAAATGTATTCAAAATGAAAACAAAGAGATGGGAAGAAAACAACACAAAAGAGAGA